TCAAAAGCCTCCTCTTTGGAACATTTGTGCCTTGACTACTTTGAATACCATGCTATCTTTATGGTGACTTACTTCTATTGGGTCTGGATGGTTCCCCATTAGGAAGTTAGGCCTTCTATTTTAAGATTATATGTACAAGGCAACTGGCTGTTTATTGAATGAATTTCCAACCCAAGAGGCAGTGACTTACTCATTTGCACCTCTATAGGCAACATACACATGCTATGAATTGCAGTCTACCCTACTGGCTGATACTACTCTATTGAAGATTAGGAGTGGGTTCCAGTGTACTGATTCTGTCACATGTGTTCCTGAAGAAGGATTCCAGAAAAGTTTTGAGTCCACATAGGAATGTTAATCAGATTCTTTGCATGTTGTGAACCCTTATGTGGAGAGTAATCTTTAATGATGTGTAATTGATTGTAATAGTAATTGCTGCTTTACAGACATAAAAAAGGGGAGATCCCCTATACCCTTCACTATATCCAAGGTATCAAGGTACCTATACCATTGTTGTACCACCTGACATTGCCTCCCCACAACACAGTGCTTGGGTCAGACCAGCCATTGCTGAAGGCCAGATCAACCACTTCTGGGGGCCAGAGCAGCCACTGCTGAGGGCCAGAGCAACCACTTCTGGGGTCCAGAGCAACCATTGCTGAGGGCCAGAGCAACCACTTCTGGGGGCCAGTGCAGCCACTACTGAGGGCCAGAGCAACCACTTCTTGGGGCCAGAGCAGTCACTGCTGAGGGCCAGAGCAGTCACTGCTGAGGGCCAGAGCAACCACTTCTGGGGACCAGAGCAGTCACTGCTGAGGGCCAGAGCAACCACTTCCAGGGGACAGTGCAGCCACTGCTGAGGGCCAGAGTAAACAATTTCTGGGGGACAGTGCAGCCACTGCTGGAGCCCAAAGCAACCACTTGTGGGGGACAGTCCAGCCACTGCTGGAGTCCAGAGCAACCACTTCTGGGGACCAGAGCAACCACTGCTGGAGTCCAGAGCAACCACTTCTGGGGACCAGAGCAACCACTGCTGGAGGCCAGAGCAACCACTTCTGAGGGCCAGAGAAACCACTGCTGGGAGCCAGAGCAACCACTTCTGGGACACAGTGCAGCCACTGCTAGAGGCATGAGCATTTAGGAAAGCAGCAGGCTGACAAGCTCACCTCTCTGACACTTTGCTCTTTTATCAGATTGAACTGCAGCACAAGTGTTGTTTCTTCCTCCCTCAGCATGGACTCTGCTGTACAGGGATTAGAAAGGGAATGATACCCAGTCAGATTCAGATTCTTACACTGTTTGTACTTGAAAATAAATGTAATGGTTTATGAATCAATACAGAGCTGCATTGAGCCTGGATTCCCACCCGAGGTTAGAATAATTTGCCTTTGTGCCCCAATATATTATTTTTTAAAAATGTCCTTATCCTTTAACTTTTTGATAGTGATAAGTGTTAAAGTGGTTGTAAATCTCAGACATTAAATATGAGAAAAAAGCATATCCCTCTATGTGTGTGCTTGTCAGTCCAGAGCTCTATGTGGCATTTCTGTCTGCTGCCTCATTCCTCTGCTATAATCATGGGTAATTTCTGACAGGTTTTCCTGACACCAAGAGAGCAATGGTGACGGGGTGGTAACCTCCACCAGATTGACAGTCTTAGCTCTGTTCCTGTGTGCTGTGTGAAGGTGGTGTGTCCCTTCCCTCCTATCAGCTCTCACAGCTCTCCTCACTGATGTAACTTCAGGTCTCCACTCTTTGCTTTTTAGAACTGAGAGATCCTGTGTAAATTCTGCACTTTGAATGGATGTAGCGGAAAGATGGCTGTAGATAAACAGGTACAAATTATGCTTGAGGATTTGTTTCATCTCTGTGTATCACCTGAAGCCAATCACATCACTGAGTATATGTGAGGGTTTACATCCGCTTTAAGGTACCTTTAGGGATAAGATGATATTTTCCCAAACCAGTAGATAAAAGTTGGATGGGTCATTGATCATATGTCAACACTATTTAGTCTTTCTAGACATCCCCAGATGACCCTTTTGGGGGAAAAAACTTAGTGGCTGCATTGATTTTTCTCATCCAATTTTTATGTTTTCCACCAAAATATGCAGGCATTAGGAAACACAAGCCATGCTTTTCCTCCCTTATTCATAAACATGCACACTCAGCCAACCTGAAGAGGAATGTTAATGGACTGATCTTTCTCACAAGGGTCTATTTCAGTGCTTGGATTGAACCTATGTATGACCGGCATCTGTTGACTGAAGGTAGCTTTGAATTATACAAATTTATGACATATACCAAAGGGAAAAAGGAAAAGGCCTATGAGTACTTCCCAAGGGATCAGCAGTGTTGCCATACCCACTTCGCTCATTAACAGTAAAATAAATTAAATTAAGACTTATTAATAAAGCTTTGAAAAATGCAGCCAAGTAACCAACAACCATTAAAAAATGATTAATGGTTTCAGGAGCTCTTTTTTCTAAATCAGTATACTGTTATTAGTGTCCCTATTTAAAGCAACACCAAAATAAATAAATAAATAAAAATGCATCTTACCAGTTCCTAGATGTGGCGACTGCATTAGTTTTCTTTTTTTTTTCCAGATGTTTCCCTTTATTCTCACTTAGTAAATCTAAGAATAGTACATTACATAGGGTGGCACAGTGGCTAAGTGGTTAGCACGTCTGCCTGGCAGTGCTAGCGTCGCTGGTTCAAATCCTGACCACAGCACCACCTGCCTGGAGTTTGCATGTTGTGCCTCTGTGGGTTTCCTCCCACACTCCAAAGACATGCTGGTAGGTTAATTGGCTCCTGTCTAAATTGGCCCTAGTATGTGTATGAATGTGAGTTAGGGACCTTAGATTGTACACCCCTTGAGGGTTAGGGACTGATGTGAATGTACAATATATATGTAAAGTGCTGCGTAAATTGATGGCGCTATATAAGTACCTGAAATAAATTACATGTCCCTGGGAAGCTATTGCAAGTGAATTTATAGAGTAAGCCATGCTTGTCACCCAGGCTGGACCTCAAACATGTCTTTTATTCATCTCCATTACATGTGAGATGAGTGGTTTACAGAAGAAAGATAACATTGTTTTGGTTTCAGTTCAGCTCACCAGAGTTGACAAGGACACTATATTTCTGGCAGGATCAACATTTACTTTCTGTACTGCTAAATACATTCTTAGCTTGAAAAATGAAAATGAATGCAGCCACCACATCTAAGTTCTGTTAAGCTGCATTATATAACATGTTTGGCTTTACTTATCCTTTAACCATCTCCGCTTGCCTCTGATATGGATGTAAGCAATGTGGGACCGGCGAGCGCTTCACACAGCATATACACTCATCCAGATTGAAGGCTCCTGAATTTCAAACGTGACACTGTGGTTCATGTTCATGCTGTTAATTGCAAACAGACAAGGGAAGGAAAATTTCTAAAGCTGATTTCCTGGGCCCTGGGATGCTAGTGGCAAAAGCAGATTAAAAGGACAACTGGAACAAGAACTAGAATGGAGATTTGTCTTAAACACTAGAACAATGGGCAGGAGATGAGGGCAATCAACCGTAAGGAAAGCTGTGCGGAGATCAAGGAGTCCGTGCAGTAGTGACCTTGGGACTTACCCAGCAGGAGGTGAGCAGGGTTCCTGTATAAGGCAATGTCACCAGAGCAGCAGTCTGGAAATGTTAAGCAAGTGACATCTGATCGACTGGAAAATTTGATGTCCATAAAACCCTAGCAGTACCTTCACATTAGGGTCATTTTGCCATTTAATTGGGGTTAAAAAGCATGAAGCGGCCTAAAGTTGCATGGATGCAGCTGGAGAGGCCCTGTCATTGTCCCACTGCATGTAAAGAAGGAAAGGACATTTACATTTATAGCCTTTTATTCCATGCACATCACATTTTCCACCTGAGCCCATCCCGGAGTGGTCTCAGAGCCTCCTTGCTGACAGTTAGTGAATACTCTATTGTTTTCAGAGCCTTTAGTCACTGACATCAGGTGCTCTCTATGGTGTGTGATTCTGAACTGTCCTTGCTTTCAGATGTTTTTTCATTAACAGTAAAAGTTCTCTAAACAGAGTCGGGGACTTTATTCTCTTAGGATACCAATAGGCAAATGATAATTATGGGGCACCCATAGGGTATTTCCATCATGAAAGGCTATTATACACAATACTTTTAGATCAGTGGTCTCCAAACCACAGCCCGTAGCCCGGATGCTGACCTTTTACTTGCCTTTACCTGGCTTGTAGGGCATTATATTCCTCTCAAGGACACCAATGATGAAGCACAATTCCTTCCACTAACACCAACAGTGGGGCATAAATCCTCCCATTGATTCCAACAAAAAGGCATAATTCCACTCACTGACATCAACAACTTGGCAAAATTCCTCCATCCGATATCATTGATGCAGCACTATTCTTTAGCACCAGTACCAGGAATGGAGCATTATTGCTCCCACTAATACCAATGTCAGGGCCCTATTTCTTCTCCTACTGACCATATGCACTATTGTAATTTTTTTTATTCCTGTTGACCACCAAGCCTGAAACATTGTTTACTCCCACTGAGACTGGGACATTTTCTACTCCCACTAGCCAGTCTACCCCCCTTCCCCCCAAAGCCTGAAGGACAGAAAACTGGCCCTTTGTTTAGAAACTTTGGAGACCCCTGATCTAGATGGATGAACAAAAGTGTTGAACCTTAACTATTCTCGGAATTGCTATCCTTTATTAAATTTACATGGTACACCTATTCCAGAAATCTGTTATGCCAAGGTTGCCTGACTCATCTTACTTTCTACCAGGGGCGGACTGACAACTCATGGGGCCCCCGGGGCAATAGGGGATCATGGGGCCCCTGTGTTCTTGCCCAAACTCAAAAAGGTACCAGGGGCATCTAATGGGGCCCCCTACTGACCCCGGGCCCTCGAGCAGTGCCAAATGGTCAGTCCGCCCCTGCTTTCTACTAATCTTTATAGCCACCTGTTGGGTAGATGCAGCATGCTGCGGTGGCAGTAAACACACAAAGGCCCAGGATGCAGTAACTGATGTATTGAAGAACTTGCAACAGCCCAGCAGGGAAGCCCACCCAACCGGGAACTTACAGTCAATGGAGCAGAGAATCAGTGGAGAGTAGGCCTGAACTGAAGACAGCACCTGTCAAGGAAGACTAAATGCGGCCTGGCTGGTCCAACCCAGAGGGGAACTCGTGTTGCAGGCGTATGCCCTGAGCTTTCCCTACTCCTCCAGAACCAATTCCTGCAACTAATGCTGTCCCTGATAGACAGGTATGCTGTCCCTACACTAGCCACTTTGCAAAAGTGCTCCAAAACCCAGAGACAGGGACTTAAGAAGACTCTGTGACACCCAAGATGGCCACTGGATCACTTGGATGCATTGTAGCCAAATGGAACGCTGCTCAAGGGAACCAAGAGAATCATAGAACCCCTCGTGTATTGTATTGTTACTGTCTTGTCTCATGTTCTGTCCCCCCTGCTACTGTACAGCGCTGAGCATAACCCTTTGGCGCTATATAAATACTGTATAATAATAATAATAGAGAAACCCAGATTCTCTTGACACCGATCCCCCACCCAGCTGCATTTAGACCGCAGATGAGCACCATCTACAGTGGAGAAACTGGACTGCATCTGCGTATACACCTGTACAGTAAACCTATCCTGTAGCCCCTAGGATTCTATTTAAAAAATACTGTACTTGGTGAGAAAAAAAAAATTGACAGCCCATGCACACTAGTGTGTTGTGGAAATGCGTGCATTAACTCACAGTGCCAAAATGTATGGCAACATAGCTGCTCTATGTGTGATGTGTTGTGGTGCCATACAATGTAAGTGGCAACTCAATGCATTGTACAGTAGAATATTACATTAAACACAGCCCAGCGCAGCATAATGCAGCACAGCACAACCCATATACCATGTGTTCTGGTGCGCTGTGTTTTAAAAGAAGGGTTATGCACTTTTTTTAAAAAAAACATGGTACAGTAGAGCACAACACATAGTGCAACATGTTTTTTTCATCCATTGCTGAGTTTTGGCAGCCCATTCATAATATTTTATATTATTATTATTTATATTGCAAAGCGCTGAGCAAACTGTTGGCGCTATATAAATCCTGTATAATAATAATAATATGCTTGCATTAGCACCGCATTGGTTTGCTTTAGTGTGAATGGGCTTTCAAACAATATGTTTTAGATAATTACCTTACACCCTAGCTTCTACATGTAGGTGTTGGTGACATCATTGGGTTTCACTGTGGGAAAACTTAGAATCCCAAATCTCATGAGGGAATGCTCCAGCATGGGAGCGCATTCCTGGGTATTTGGAATCCTCAGCTTTATCAGGTCCCTTGAAAAGAGATCACCCCAGCCTAAACAAGAACTATTAATATTTTTTTTAAGTTTTTGAAACTTTTTTTTTTTTATGTTTGTTGGAAGGATAAAGATACTTTATTTATTTATTTTTTTTATGAAAGGTCCGCTTTAATAACCCTTCTCTTATATTGTACCTACCTTCCAGTTGCTTCCCTGCATGACAGAGCCAAGGACAACAGGCCTGGGTACATTCGAAGTTGTCTAATGTGGTGCTTAACAGGACTAGGAACCTTCCACCCCACCCTATGTGACAGCACTCAGGCCTGGAAATTGGCCACTTAGGCATCCAAGCACTGTATCTTTGTGATGAAGTGCTGGGTTTTTCACTTCGCTCCAGCGATCAAACGAAGTGCAGTTGATTGGCTGACCTTGTTACAATGTCAGCCTTTTGAAAGGAACCTGTCATCTTTATTATTCCTCTAATGAGTCAGTAACATGGAACAAGTATGTGCGTGTTGGTTGTTTCATTAACATTATGATAACCAAAGCTGTTTCCCTGGACTAGGAATTAAAGTAGCTTAATACTCCTCAGCCAAGTCTTGCAAGAAGTGCAAATTTTATTCTGCAAAAATAAAAGGGAGAAAGGAGTTAATAAGAAATAATTGGGGTTAACAAAGGGTTAATAAGGGATTAATTAGGAACAGCTTTTCAAACAGCTTTTACAAAAAAAAAAAGGGGGGGGGGGGGGTCAAGAGCAGATATCATGCAGAGAGTGAAGAACATGTTTTTGCTTTGCACATAAGCACTAAACAACATAAATTTTAGCAATTTCAGTGCAATACAGGCTGGACTTATCACTGTGCACAGTAGGTCTATGCCCATGGATGGCAGAGGTAGAGGGATGGCTTTTTCCTGTATGGCTATCAGTAGGGATGAGCTTGACACGAGTCTAAACCCTCATGACCTATCCAAAAAGGAAGCTGTCACTGCAGAGAACCAATAATAAGCAACCAAGGCATTCCCCGGCCCACAATCACGTCTATACATTCAACTGCAGAGCAGGGAATCCCTCAGCCACTTATAATTAGCTATCTGCAGTAACAGCTTCCTGGCAGGATAGTTTATGCAGGTTCGGACTTGTATCTGAACACACCTGAGCTTGTCCCTGATTAGCTGCCACATTTTTTCTTCTATTATAAGTAGAATTACAGTTGTTTAAAATTTTACACATTGTCTCAATGTTCTAAGCCAGTTAAATATCCGTACAATATAAAACGTTCTAAATGAAAGAAGTTTAACCTTGATGAGAGGTGCTGTTTTGGTGGTCAAAGGCTTGGCCTCATTTTTATTTTGTGGAGGAGTTGGTAGAGGAGGTCTCCTCCAATACAACCATCTTGTGACAGGACAACATGATGTCCCGAACCTTTCCATCCTTTTTTCCCATATAGAAGTAACCCAACAGCTTTTTCCTTGTGGAAATAAGTGAAGCCTCTTAGATTGTAAGCTCCAAGGAGCAGGGCCCTCCCTCTTGTATTGAACTGTATTGTTGCTGTATTGTCTCACATTATATTGTAAACCGCTGAGCCAACTGTTGGAGCTATATAAATCCTGTATAATAATAATAAAAAGCCTTAGGTTCCTGTAACCATATGATGCCATACTAAGTGGGAGCACTATACTGAGACCAGTGGAATTGCATGGATGTCTCGAGCCCTTTAACTGTTAGTCCTGATTAGGTGGAAACACGTTAAATTCAACCTGTTACCTGTTGCCATCCTAGTCCCTAGTTCTTTGTCTGTTGGTCAAAGGTTGCGTGTCTACAAGCTCCAGCAATGGAAATCTAGTAATTTTTATGATCTATTCATGAATGATAGATGCAACCGCTGCTTGTGGATTTAATTCATACAGGAGCTGCTGTCAGAAATCCTAAGGCTCTTTTCGATTGAGTCCTCCTGTCTGTTTTTAAGGCAGACCCAATCAGACCATCCATTGCCCTCTATGGAGTGATGGATATAAACACGTGTCTGTTTACACCCACCTGCAATCGATCAGAAACTAAAAACAGGCAGATAGGGATCCATTCCCTATCCATCTAGTGGATTGGATTGGACGACAGTCGGACATAAATGGATAGGTGGTCTGTTTACAGCTGACCACCCATAGAGGGTAATGGGCTGTGTCCGTGTCCACTCTGCATTAGTGGAGTGGACATGGACCCAGGGGCGGACTGACAACTCATGGGGCCCACGGGCAATAGGGGATCATGGGGCCCCTGTGTCCTTGCCCAAACTCAAAAAAGCCTATGAAAAAGGTACCAGGGGCATCTCATGGGGCCCCCTACTGACCCCGGGCCCTCGGGCAGTGCCCGAGTTACCAAATGGTCAGTCCACCCCTGCATGGACCTATCATCCAACTGCTCAGCGGGCATCAGCGGACAGATCCCCTGATGAACAGGTGGAGTACACCTGTGTGAAAGGGCCTAATACACAATGTGAGAACCAGATATCAAACTGACGGTCAAGACCCATAGAATGCACCAGGAGAGTAGGCACAGCGGGTTGTGTCTGTGGACACAAGTAAACCTCAGCCTCTCTATGAAAATCACTAATTACTGTGCATGCTGCCTCCATGTTTGGGGGTATGTTCAGGTATGGCTATGGTAGTTAGGGTTTAACGACTGGGCAAAATTCAGTTAACAGTAACTTCAGCAAACCCAGCAAAAAGTCTGCTAAGCTTGAACATAGCTCCAAATTCCACTGAAGTCCATGGGAGCCAAGTCTTACTATATTTTCTGGCTTTTATAAGGCCAATTTTTTTTTTTATTTAAAAATAGGTTCATGGTAGCTGGAAACTGCCATGAGGAACATGTACCAATACAAAAAAAAAAAACATTCAGTTGGGAGAGGGTCTTTTTATGTTTTATTAAACCCATTGTATAAGAATTAAAAAAATAACAAAGCCACACTTAATTATGTCCTGACATTTAACATTTAATGCTTGTTCTTGCAGTCACTTCCTTTTAACAAGAATGTTTTCTTATATTCCCTAACTAGACTTCCTTTGCTGCAGAGGTTCCTATCACTGGAAGTGTCTCGATGGAGCAACCACAACATGAAAAATCCCTATCGAAGGACTACACAACGCGCAGACACTCAAATGGCACAGGGAGGCTGGTGATGAAGAGGAGATGTGTTCCACTCACCCCCTATTGACTGAGAGTCATTGAGTAACAGTGCAATAAAGTTTATTAATTGTTATATTTATTTTTTAAAATGATTGATTATGCTACAATTATTATTATTATTTATTATTATTATTATATTATTAATAATAATAATAATAATAATTTATTTGTTTTAGCAATTAAACTGGTGTAATAATTCTAATATATTTTTATAATTATATTTATATAATAATAAGTATTTGTATGGTATACTATTGTATTGTTGTATATTTGTATATTTGTATATTATTTGTATTATTATTATTATTATTATTAATATAATATAAAAAATATGGGCAATTAAAATGTTATGAATATTTGAAAGCCTTTGATTGCAACTCATGCATGTGTATTTGAATATCTAGAACAATGCATCATGGGACATGTAGTCCCATTATTGGACACATGTAGCTATTATGTGCATTCATCCTGACTGGAAGTGGAAGGGGAAACAAAAGTCTA